TTCGTGACCTCTAATTGAATTTACTCCTTGTGAAAAACAAAAGTATCAAGTTACCTTTGTAACTAAAAACGAAAATACCTCTTGCCATTTGCATACTACCAACTCACGAACTGTTCCAAACCTCAAGGCTCATCTCCTCCATAACTAAAATCCTCAACCTAACCCAAGGAAAATGTCGAAGTAAACCCAATATATGAATGCTTCCTCCCCTTTTGTAGAAGAATAAATATGGTCGTTCTGAACTCTATCAGGATCAAATCTTCTCACATACCATTTACCTTTAAAACAAGAAATTTTATTGGCTGTTTATAGTAGATCCAATCTGATTGGTGTGACATACATACATCTCTCACTCACTCACTCACTCACTCACCCACCCACCCNGAAATTTTATTGGCTGTTTATAGTAGATCCAATCTGATTGGTGTGACATACATACATCTCTCACTCACTCACTCACTCACTCACCCACCCACCCTATTGCTCGTGAAATTATTAATACCCAGTCACAAGATTCTCTGAGGGGAAGATACATGTTCCCTTTTATCTCTAAAATACAGTCTCTCAATTGTTCCCCATTAGTAAATTGTACACTTACTGAAACTCTTTTACTAAAGTCTCCTTTAATAATAGAGATATCCTTTTGAATGAATGATAACGTTTCTTTATTACCTAAAACGCCTCGGAACGTGTCAATCTACCAGGCAATACATTTCTTGTTTCGAAGTCACTCAATACTTTACTACTACTGAAACTTTGTGACATTTAAAATACATTATGAAATATAGTACTAACGGCTATTACACTTAAAAGAAATAGTCCGCGTTAACTTCTGTCAATGTCTGTCTACATATGACTCTGGATCTAACAGTCTATATAACTGTAAATCAGATGCCACACAGTTCATTTAACTATAAAACCAAGCACCTTAAACGTTTCGCCTAACACAGTCTTGTTTAAATTTAAACGTAATCGACTGGGTTTTCCCAAATAACAACTACAAAGCTGCTACAATTAAAAAGCAGTATTTTCAGTTACCAATGCATGTATCATTTTCTTATTATTATTACCTTTCTTTTGGTTTACTCAAACAGGGGCGAAGCCAGGATTTTTCAAACAGGGATCACACTGTATCAAAGTGAATGGCCAAGATATTTTCATGGCAATTTTCGCCACCTGTTGAAGAGTGTTTCCTTAAAAAAGGGTTAAAAAAGCTGTGTCACGGGCACCCCAGGATACCCCCTAGCTACGCCCTTGCTTAACTGAAAAATATTGTAAAAAAGCTATCACACTTTAATAAAAAATGATAAGCTAACTCATGCCGACTTCAATTGTTAGTCAGCTTGACTTCCATCGTGCTCTGTTTTCAAGCTTTCTCTTTTCACAGGAAGATAACACAAAACTGCCTTGTTGCTTACTTTTGCCAAATTTTCCCATTCATCTAAATGAACGTGGTAGATCTCCTCTGGTGGGATTCTAATCCCACTGTCAACTGGAAATTTATTGATAATAAAATACACCCTCCCTTCTATTTCTACTGCACCAAAATTGTTCAGGGGAATATGCTTTTGCTCAACAACAGACCAAGTGTCGTTTCCATCGTCATACACTTCAATGGGGGCTGGACCCGGAGGAACCAGGCCAGATTGAGAACTGCGAGTGCAACTCTCGGAGACATAGAGCCTGCTATTAACCACAAAGAGACCGGCATTACTGTGAGGATGGCAGGTTGAGGAAAGTTGTTTCCATTTATTCAATTTTGGGTCAAAGCGATGTAATGCAGCTGACTCATCTACCCAGACTTGAGAAGTACAAGCACTTACACCCGCATTCCCAAATGCAGATTGCACAGACCCGGTAGACAGGGTCGCAAAATTAAGACTCCCGGAACATGTGGTCCCAAATAAACCAAATAAATTTGTCTGACTGTCTTTCACTTCTTGACTGCTACTCTTTTCAGCTTTCTTAAGGCCGTGAAGCACATATATATGTGACTTCCAAACTGTTGCTGTTGCATTAGTCACTTGGCTTTTTGGATCGTCAAACTGTTTCTTAACAAAACCTAAACTAGCCCCACCTTGCCAATTATTCTTAGCTGGGCTATACCTA